AATGCCTGCGGTGGAACCCAGCTCCCCTCCCGGCGCCTCTGCAGAGAGGCTGCGGCGGCCCCTTGCCCAGCCCCGTCCCCGAGGCTTGTCGCCTCTCCGGGAACCCAGGCCAGGCGGGCGAGCGGGCCGGGGAGCAGCGTCGCCCGGTGGAGAGCTCACCTGGTTCGGTGCGCGCCTCCCTGGAAAGCCCAGGGGACAACTGTTCGGTGGCCTTTATACCTTTGCCGAAGGCAGTGGGACGTTTATTTATGGAGCAACAGAGACACCTCATTGAAACGGAAAGACACCCAGGTAGCAGCAGGCGTTCCCCTACCTATTCTACCGGGAAAGAAACCCTACCCCTCCCTCATTCCTTCTCTTTCCAGAACCAGGAAGGCTGCGGCTTTTTCACCGGCTGTCGCGTCGGGGCCACCCGAATCCTCGCTCAGGCCGAGATTACTAACCCGGGACTGTTAGGCCAGGGGCGGACGAGGTCCTGGGGCACTTGTTATTGTAGGGCTGAGCAGGTGAAGAGGAAGGGGTCAGGGGTTAGGTTTGCTGGAGGGTTGACCTTGATCCATTGGTTGTTGGATCAGGGTGCTCCGTATTCTGAGATATCTGGTCATACCAGGTGAGGAGGGGAGGAGGATCGAACCAGTGACTAGTTTTGAATATTGATAATATTAAAAAGGCTTGGGGTTTCAGGAAAGGCTTTCCTAAGAGGACTCGGAGCGAGGGTGGTGGTTATACGGGGTGGGGTGGGGGTGGGCTCCTTTTTTCTTAGCCATGAAATTTAGATACATACTCTGCACGTGTGTGTAGTATATTTAACAATCACAATGAAGAATTCGTGTCACCCGCTTTGTTACGTGGCTGCCTCTCTCTTTCCTCATTTATGTGGACAATCACAGAGAACAACCTGAACGGAGAGGGATCAGTGTTTTGTCTTTTGCTGGGTGAATGTAAGAACACTGGCCGAAGTCGGGGAGAGAAAGGGAACTTCTCACCTGATTGTCTGACCTACCCTGTCCTCTAGGGTCACTACCCTGTCCTCTAGGGTCGCCTGGGAGTCAGAATCTACCCAATGGCGGTGAGTGTGTTTTGGTTTATTTAAGGCGTGCTCAGTACGTAGAGGTCTGGTGGTGCAGTGGTTAAGCGCTCAGCGGCTAACTGAAAGGTTGGTAGTTCCAATCCACCAGCTCCCAGGTGAGAGAACGATGTGGGCGCCTGCTTCCAGAAGCAGTCCAGCTTTGGAACCATCCGGGCAGTTCTACGTTGCTCTGAGTTGGACACAGCAATGTTTTTTTAGTTTGTTTTTTTAAGCAAATAAAGAGGCTGCAAAATAGGGATCTTCTAGACACCAGTTTCCAGCTACCCACCCAGCAAGAAAATGTGGACCATTTTCTATAAGCTCCAGGAAACAGAAGTCTCAGGAAACCTTATGTAAATACTCTGGAAATGCATTCAACATGGTGTGAGCATGTGTGTTTCCCTGAGAATGAGTCAACAGCTTTCAACAGATCTTCAACGGCTTACTTGACTCAAATGTGGTTAAGACCCATTGAAGAAGGAACCTAAAAGGAAAATCAAGGTCATGAACTTTACAATTCTTACCACCTGCTAAGGAATGGTGGTAGGAGGTTCTGTCGTAAGTACATGTTTTGTTTGTGCAAATCAGTGGTCCTTGCCTAGAGGCTACTTTGGCCCCCAGAAGACATTGGGCTTGGAGACATTTGGGGTTGTCACATTTGGGAGGGTAGTACTGGGAGTCAATGGGTAGAGAGCAGGGACGTTGCTAAATAGCCTGTAATAGAGTTCCCTGTTGCTCTAAGCCTACATATGTATTTTTAAATTAATTATTAAAATTGCAACATGCACCAAGCATATGAATGTCTCGCTGTGTGTATATCTTAATAAAGGGCACATCATTGCTGGTGTGTAACTTGATTACAATGAAATAACTGATATATAGATGCTGAAGCCTTGTGCTAATAAAGTAAAGGCTGGTAGTTCAAACACTCCCAGAGGTGCCCCCGAAGGAAGACTTGGAGGTCTGTGTCTGGTGGCTCACAGATTTGAGCGGAGTTCTCAGAAACACATGAAGTCGCCATGAGTTGAAGAGAACTCTATTGTTTGGTTTTTGTTTGTTGGTTGGTTACATTTGTTATAGATTCTGAGTGTACCTATCAGGGTTCGACTAAAACATTATCTACTCCATGAAAATTCCTAATCCTCTCCATCAGGATTAACCTGGTCCCATTTCTGGATTCTCTTGGAACCTTATCTGATCCCTTCTTAATCTATGCCTCACTGTCTACCTTGTCTTTCTCTCACGGCCAGTGGGTCCATTCTGACTCATAGCAACTCTATAGGACATTATAGTGGAATTATCTACCTGTCAGCATCATCATTTTCTTATCTTCCTCATTATACTAAAAATTGCTATAGGGCAAGAATTTTGCATCCCTAAGAATGATGACCTTTTGTAAAGTTCTCAAAACCAACCGAAGAGATTCTGAAACTCTCCCTTGAACTTAGAGTAGCTAAAGCAATAGGAAGAAATAAGAAGTCACAAAGTGCTGAACAGGAGATTTCAAAGGGTCATTTGAGAGGCTAAAGTACAAGAGGGCACAACATACCCTCTCGCCCCCCC